GAAAAGAGTTGTGTGACCCTAAAACCACAGAGTGAGCACCTTGTCTGGAGCAAGTTACCTGAGTCGGCGGTGATGTCAGCAGGCAGAATTGATTGTATGTGTGTAATGTGATTGTAGAGCCATCACAATCTAAAGCTGGACCAAAACACATCCTTGTTGGCAGAGTTGTCACTCCTCTTTGGGGAGATCGATGGGTACCTGTTAGGGTCATCAATCCTACAGACAGGGTTGTAGTACTGAAGAGAAATGCGAAATTAGCAGATGTGTCTCCATGTATTGCAGTTGAAGACCTACCAAAAGCTGACAAAATTGAGTGTAATGTGCAATGTATACAGAGTACAGTTGTGCAGCCAAGGTCAGAGGAGGACATGATGCATACACTGAAAGTTCTGGGTCTGCAAGACATTGACCTGAAATCATATGAAGTGCCACTGCAGTGGAAAGACAAGGTCCTTGACCTCATTGTGCAGCATGAGTCAATCTTCTCCCATCACAAGATGGATTGTGGAGAAGCTAAGAGGTTCGTTCACCACATCCATCTTGTTCATGACAAGCCGTTTTGTTTACCCTACAGATGCATACCACCAAGCCAATATGAGAAACTGAGAACGACTCTGAATGAGATGGAAGAGAGAGGCATTATCCAGAAGTCAAACAGCGAGTATGCATCTGCACTTGTTCTGGTATGGAAACCAAATGGTGACCTCAGAGTCTGCACTGACTTCAGATGGCTCAATGCGAGAAACTGTGAAGATGCTTACCCACTACCGCATCAAGCTGATGCTTTGGCTGCCCTTGGTGGTAATGCATTCTTCTCAACAATGGACCTGACATCAGGCTTTTATAATGTCCCTCTGCACCCTGATGACAAAAAAATATACAGCATTCTCGTCTCCTTTTGGATTACATGAATACAACCGCCTCCCTTAAGGCCTGTGCAATAGTCCGGCTACATTCATGAGGATGATGATGTCAATATTTGGGGATGAGAACTTCACAAGCCTATTGTGCTACCTTGATGATCTGATGGTATTTGCACCTACAGAGGAAACTGAATTCCATCGCTTACAAATGGTTTTCTCCCATCTCAAAGAGCACAATCTTAAATTCGCACCCAAGAAGTGCTTCTTCCTAAGGCGGACTGTGAAGTTTCTTGTTGAGGAAATCCAGAGGAAGTCGACTCTCATCCAGACCATCAAAGATGAACAGAACCTGGAAGTTTTCAAAGCTGCAGATTTCTTTGGTTTCAGTAAAGAAGTGATGAACAAGTTCCACCAAGCTGAATTTTTTCTCTCTCAGCACATTCAGTTCTCTGAAAGTGAATGGAAATATGAACTGGATGTTCTGGTGGGCTTTATCTTCAGCCCAGGCCAGAGTGAACTTCTGTGTTAAGACTGTTTTCCCAATGCCGGCCACTCCCTTTGTCATCACTGTTCTGATTGGTTGATCTCTTCCATTAAAGATGTCTTCTTGTTTGATTGTTGTTTCTGGTTTGTGTGTTTTCCTGGATGCTGTTTCAATCTGTCTGACCTCATGTTCATCATTGACCTCTCCAGTCCCTCCCTCTGTGATGTAGAGCTGTGTGTAGATCTGGTTCAGAAGGCTTGGACTTCCTGCTTTAGCAATCCCCTCAAACACACACTGGAACTTCTTCTGCAGACTAGATTTAAGTTCTCGTTGACAAGGTGCAGGACTTGTTACTGAATGAAGAATAAATAATTTCAATATATTTTAGTTTAGAATGATTTTTCCATCAGGTCCACCCTTTGCAGAAACCCTCTTGCTTCTTTGCAGACGGTCAGCCAGCTGCTCCTGCTTCATATATATATATATATATATATATATATATATATATATATATATATATATATATATATATATATATATGAACATACTGAACTTCCTCAGGAAGTTCAGTATGTTCATATATACATACTGTATATACATATATACATACTGTATATACATATATACAGTATGTTCATATATACATACTGAACTTCCTCAGGAAGTTCAGTATGATCTCTATCACTGCCTCTCTGCTGCTCTTCCTCTGCTCGTCATCCTCACCTTCCACCTCCTCCTCATCTCTCTGGCTCTCTGAGCATTCTGGGTCATCTTGAGTGCTCAGTCCTGCTTTATGAACATTGCATATTTATAATTTTCTCTCTCTTACACACGGTCAGTTCGCAAGGTAATGATGTAATATTGACAAACAAGCTGATTCTGTTGATTGAACAATGGAGTCTGGGTTATTGAGAGTCTTTTTTTTTGTTTACAATTTTACTTGCTTATAATGCTTTACACACATCAACAGCTATTACTATTATTTTTTTCAGAATTATATTTATTTATTGTATTTATGTTCATTTCATCAAATAAATAATTTTATTTATTCAGCCCAGTCCAGGGCTGAATAAATAATTTGCCACTAATCAATGAGGACCAAAACCTAAAATCAGTGAATTTTATGTATTCACTGATGAAATGAACATCAATACAAGGGTTTATATTTTATGGACATATATAACCAGCTCCTCCATGATAATCACAAGTAATTTCCTAATCAGTTTAGAAACAATTCCTCAGTATGTATTTAGGAATGGCTCAATTCCACTAAAGTTGTGGTTTCACAGTTGACTCCCTGACAAATGATCACAAGACACATGCTCCCAACCTTATTGTAAAATGTGACAAAAGCTAGAAACTTGTAAAAAAAACATAAATATATTTCTTACTAGATAAGCCAAACAGAGATATTGGTATAGACAAAAGCTCACATTTCTCTGCACACTTTTCCCAGTCACACCTGCAGACAGTCAGTGGTAGGGGGTGGAGTTATTGCAAAGTAATATCAATAAAAAGGCTTTAATTGATTGAATTGATTAGATTTGGAGACAAATTAGGATACATGTGATTGTTCCATTTACAGCTGACAAGAATTGAAACATTGCATAACTGAGAAAGATTTTCAAATACAATGACAAAAAAGTTACGAAACAAAAAAGGTCCATTGATTTTATGTTAAACTGTACAGAGTCAGATTCTGTTTGGAGATTTCTTCCTGATTAAGGGTTTTTCCTTTCCACTGTTGCTATGTGTTTTACTCAATGTAAGGAATTACTGTAAAGTTAACGACACAATGCAAGCCGTGTTTTACTATGTGCATGTCAAGGAGGAGTGAATACTGCAGGTCAAATACACGACGCAATCTGCTGGATTTCATTGGATAGAATTTTTTTTTTATCTCTTTTGAATAATTAACAGAGCGTATTGTTTGAAAACTAGGATTGATTGGAATGTATCCATGTCTGGATTTTCTCATGAAATACCTTTAGATTACATTGGTTGTGAATTAGTGGTATATAAAAAAACTGAATGGACCTGAATTCAGACTATAAATATTTGAGGCAACCCAGTTACCTTAGTAATTTGTAAAAGAGGACTGATCAGTGAGCAGCAGACCAGAATAAGTATTTAACTTTAAAAGAAGTATTAACATTTGGCACTGATCAACGAGGACCAAAACTATCTGACCGGAACTGTTGGACATGGTGTAGCAGCATCAAGGAGACCCAACAGCTTCCATTCCATCAGCTTTCACTACTGTGGTTCTGGAGAACATCCAACACACACCACTCCACATATGAACAGAAAATATGGGGGAAAGAGCTGAGCTCACATTAAACACACGTTGGAATAAAAACAGTTCAGCCTGACAGTTCACACAGTGAGAGAAGTTGGATATAGCTCACCTCTCTGAAGGTGAATCTCCAGGAGATTTAAAGAAAATGATTGCGTCCTTTGATTTGTCGCTCTTTAAGGACATACAGCTGGGTTCTGCTTCTGGTTTAAGTCCATGCTTCTGTTTCTTGGAAATCCTGATAGAAAACAACACTCATGTTCATGTCTTGTTGAAGCTCCAAAGAGGAGCAGAAGCAGCTTCATCATCACATCTGTTTTTGTCTTCATATAGTGTGAATTCTGTGTGAATTCACACTAGTTGAATTCTATCTCAACTTTTCGAACAGTTTTTTTTTAAAGCATTTCTGATGCTAACATTTTCTGAGATCTGCTTTTGATCGTTGCCTTTGTTCCTTGAAATCTTGGCTCTCAATCGGTCAAAAAGTTTTGATTTCCGGCCAGCAGGATCATTTTCCCTTCGTCTGCAACATCCGAGAAGTGCCAGTCGGTCACCATAAGATGGGAGATACTCCTTAAGCTGCTCATCTGTCATGAGCAGAAGGACACTGGAGTCAATCTAGAAAACAAAAGTTAAAACAGTTGTTTAACCTATAAAAATGGGGGCGAAAACCCAGTAAAAACAGTCACATGATAAAACTGATCTGTCTTCATGTCTCTATAACAGTGTTGTATGATAACTTCTAAATGTACTGATTTCCTGAGCAATCTAGCTACCTTATCCTTTTGCAGTCGTTGTATGACTTCCTCTGAAACATCCTGTGACTTTAAAAAGTCATATCTCATCCATCCTGTGACTATTACACACAATAACTAATGAATAATGTCTAATAAAACATAACATTGCAAAAAAATTATTATGAACATGAGAATAGGGCTGAATGATATTACTGAAAAACATTTCACGATACAAGCATATTTTATTTGTATTTTATATCTGAAATACTGCCAAACTGGTGATGTGACCTTTCCCATTTTATCCACCGCTTTCACACCATAATGTTTTTTATAAAATTTATGAGGCACAGTGGTGAAACATTAAAGTTACTCAACAGCTTGTTGCTAGTTCACCAGTGAGTTAAATGGTGCCATCAACCTAGATGAGCCAGCCTGAAGAGGTTGAGAATAGGCCTGTCACGATAACAAATTTTGCTGGGCGATATATTGTCTCGAAATTATTGCGATGAACAATATTGTTTGAAGACTTTTTTACAGTGATTTAATGGAAATGATGTAATAATGCATGTGACTCCCTGCCAAGATAAATACTTTATTTTCAAAAGAACACTTAACACTGGAAATGGTTAACAAAATAAAACCATAAATAGAAATAAAATGGACTTTCAGTCTCTGTTAACAAAAAAAGCACTTGAATAAACTAAAGAGAAGATAAACCACAGTGGAAATAAAAACTACAAAAGAGTACAGATTATGAAGTCTGTGTATTATTAGATTTAAATAAAGATGGGCAAAACTGCCATTTTATAAACAAAAAGTGCAAAGTAACAAAAGCACATTCTTAAATAAGACCGATGCCTGAACAATCTTTAAGTAGATCTGTAGCTACTTTAGTCAGACAGATTCCGAGCAAGAAATACTAACATGTTGAGTTTGTGTGGCTTAAGGCAGGATCTCTCAGGAGTAGCAATGTTTCCAGCTGTGCTAAACATTTTCTCTGAACTGGTGCTTGTTGCAAAATACACATGTATTTCTTAGCCAAGTTTGCCATCAAAGGATATCTTCTTTGATTGTCACACCACCACATCAAGGATCACAAGAGGCATCAATAGCATCTTCTTGAAGGAACTTTGTCAGTTCTGCATCAGCCTGCTCTCTTTTTGAGTACATAGCCTGTGTCTGAACTGTGAGTTGAGCTCTTCTGTTTTGAAGAAGGTCACTTAGCCTCTTCTTTTGGTGGGTGGGGCAGCTGTAGATTCATCTTTGTTTCCTCCAGCAGCTTGGCTGGAACCCTCACCACTTACACCTTTTTCACTTACTTCTGGTCCTTTTAAGTCCAGTAGCTCTTGCACCAGCTGATGTTTGATGTCAACCAATGACCCTGCCTGTTCCATGCTGCCACGGTACCTTGGATCCAAGATGGTGGCCTTTGTCAGGAGGTTTTGGATGGCAGGTGAGGTGTATTTTCCAGTCAGTATCGTGGATATGTTTTTTTTAATACTGGCAGTCAGTGTGCTGTCATCAGGGCCTGGAGAGAGAAGGTCGCCTTTAATCAGTTCTAGCACAGGCTTAACAGAGGACACTGTGACGTATCTTTCTCCTGAAAGGACATCTGTAAAGTCAGCCAGTGGTTTAATAGCTGCGTTGATGGACTCTAACACCGAAACATCCTGCCAGGTTGGGTTGAGAAGGCAGTGCTTTCTGTCTTGAACCAGGACTCGTCTAATGGCTGGGAGATGCTCCAACACCCTCTCCATCATCTTCTGTTTAGTGCCCCATCGTGTGACAACATCCTGTGGAATATTGAAAATGTTTTTAGTAGAAAAATACATATAATTATTATGTCACTCATTTAGGGCCAAACTTCACCAGTGACAAGTAAAATATTATTCCCCTTATGATGACAAAGTAGAAATAACACCAAAATGGCTCTAGCAAAAAATATTATTACTATATGAGAACTATTTTTTATTAGTTAATGAATTTCAACTTCTTTAAAGAAATGCTACCAATTCTCCTTAATAATTTGTGTTGCTGTATGTAAAATTATTGCCAGACAACTGTCTTAATTAGATTCTACAGGTCTACATGCTACAAAGAAATAAACATGGCTCTGAATATTTTGAGTTACAAATGAATAAATAAATGACTTAAAAAACCACTCACCAGAATGAGATTGTGCTGAGGGAGATTAGCTTCATTCTGTGCCTTCCTCAGGTCTCTCTTTTTAAGGAAGCTCAGGTTGAAAGTGTTGACCAAGCTTTTACAGAGTCCTATGGCACGTTCTGTCCGTTCTTTGTCACTGTCTAGACCATGGGAAACAGCAAGGTGGAGGTTGTGGCCAAGCAGTTGAGCCATGGCCAGCCAAGATTTCTTATTGCAGTGACAATGTTTAGCACCATTGTCTGTTGTAATGCAGACCAGTTTGTCTTCATCCAGTCCCCAGTCTGCTAAAGCAGATTTCAGGTTTTCTTCCAGGATGTCAACAGTATGGTTATCTGGGACATATCTGGTGTCTAAACATTTAGAGTGCAGGGTCCAGTCAGCAGCTATATAGTGAATGGTCAAGCTCATATAAGGGGTCATATTTGAACTTGACCACATATCTGACGTAGCAGAGTAAAATGAAATGTCTTTTATCTCCTTCAGTACGTCGTCTTTAATACTGTTGTACAGTTGTGGAATTGCCGTTTGTGATATGTATGTTTTTCTGGGGATTTCGTAATGTCTATCAAATGTTTGCAACATTTTTCGAAATGTTGGCTTTTCAACTATATTAAATGGGAGCATCTCTTTAGCAATTAATCGAACTATGCTGTCTGTGAGCTCGTTCCACTTTGCGCCGTCCTTTTGTACGCTATTTCTCGATTAATTGCTTCAAAGACGGTGGACTGTCGTGAACTTAAAGACGGACACGGGCCACCGGTTGTATTTTTTTGTCCTGTAAGAATTAAAAAGAGGAATAACTTGATTTAGCTCGTTAATTAATTCTTTGTCCCGAATTCCTGTGTCTGTGTAAGTGTGCAGAGAGAAAAGAGCAATCATACGACGTCAGACTTCAGATATTCAGAGTTTTATCCAGAGAAATTCAATGCAGTTCAGAATGTTACAACAAGCATCTCACCCTAGATTATCCAAAAGTCTAAGACATGACAAAACCGAGACAAAGAACTGAGTAAAAAAGACAAAACAGAAGATGCATCCTCCGGAAACTCTCACTCAGCACAAAGAGATTCCAACTTCTGCTGTGAAACAAACCATTTTTTATAGAATGCGTATTCTCCTCATTTAAATATATGCATTAGGAGGTGTGTTCTTTTCCTTTGTGTGGGCTGTCTTAATGTTAATTTTATTACCTCCTGCTAAAGAGCCCCAAAGCAGATATACGGAAAACCCTTCTCGTACCAGCCGCTGTCCAGTTTGATATATGATTGCAGCTGCAGTGTTATCTCTGCCTCAAAATGTTTCCACAAGAAAGTAGTTTGTATTTTAACCAAGCTTGCACAAAATGTAATGCTAAATAATGACTATAAGTTTGGATCTAATACCATAATTAAAAACATGCTTAAAGAAATAGTTAATTCTAATATAGATAAATTATTTTTAAAAGTTTTAAGATCCTAGTGAACTTTTGAACCATGCTCAGGAATTTGTTAATTGCCTGGCAGACAGGCTCCCTATCTAAAGAGATCCAAGGCGTCTAGGCCTGTTTTCTGTCTACTCCTCTGCGTTCAGAGAGTCACCAGCTGTCCCAGTTTGGATCTGTATCTGAGTTTAACTTATGTACTATTGTGCTACTTTAAAATTCTTATTCCAACAGTCCCCAGCCTTAAAAACTTTGCTGGATGGTTGTGCTTTAGGTGCACGTGCAAGTTGGTTGTATTGTTGCTCTTAGCTCTAAATGGTAAAGTGTAGAGCTTAGGTCTGAAAGTTCTGATTAAATTTTTCCCCTAAAATATTTCAATGGTTGAACAATTCTTAAAATGAAATTCCCATCTTTATAAAAGAGTCAAGTGCATGAACATCATCAGAATGATATTAGTTTTGATCTCAATTATTTTCATTTAAACAGATAATATAATAAATTGGATTTTCACAAGAGTTGCAACTTACCTCTGTTTAGGTTTAGGTTCAGGTGAAAGGAAACTCCTCTGTCTCTTGTAGGTATCCTGA